GACAGAACGCTGCTCTGTCTTCCTTCCTACTTGTGCCTGAACACAGGTTTGAGCAATGCAAACTTGCAGGGTTGCAGGAAGAACTGGTGGCTTTCCAAACTGGTCGGTCGCAGAAAGAAACACGATAATCCATCCATGCATTTTCTGGCCACTCAACCTGGTAAGCTTAAAAGTAAGCAAGTAAAAGAAAAAGACCAGTTAACAGTGTACAAGCTGATTAGAATCAATGTGAATGCTAGTGTGATATAGTGTCTACTGTCATCCAGTTGGTGCTGCAATGGGGCTCCCCATAACCTGTAAAGCAATTTGAGTGGACAATCCAGAAAAGTGCTATATAAGCATAAGCAATGATTAATTATTATTAATGAATATACAAATGAAATGCCACAAAAGTCACAACTCACTGTGCATGTCCGTTTAAATGTTCTTTCAAGGCATCGGTGTGCTATTATCAATTGGCACATGCATTTGCCTGTACATTTCCTGCCATTTGGAGCCACCTTGACCCCCAGAGTGGATGCTGCTTTCAAAAATAGGATAACGATCAGTTAATATTGCTGGCAATGTGCTTGTTTCCAGCACTCTGCTCCCCCTCAAGAAGCTGAGCTACTTAAATCTTAAAGGAGCCAGCAGAGGAAATGATGCCACAGATTGCAATTCAGTTCAGCTGTTTTCTGATTTGGATAACTTGAAAGAGCATTCTAGTTTAGGCTTAATACGTTCTGGTGTTCATGGAAATGAGGAATAAAAATATGGGAGTAGCTAGGGTCATAGACCATGCCCGAAAAACAATCCTAATCCGTGTGCCACTCTGAAATTAGTATTTCAAATTGACTTTATTTCTCCTGAATGAACCAATTACATATGAGTCATTATCTCACCAGGCTTGTAAAATGTGGTCTGCTCTCTAAAAAGGTCCTGTTTTGTAGATAATGTTCAATTAGCAAAATGCTTTTGCATTTTCAAAATGCATTGCACTGAGATTTTACAAAAAATGATACTCCCCAAACCCTACCTGAATGTACTGCAAAAATAAGCACATGATCACAGAGAGAGCAGGCAATAACTACGCTCTCGCTGGCCCACAGAAGGAAGCTCTCTGTGAGACACCATGTTGTGTGATAAAGGTGAAGTTACTGTGTCAGTGGGAATTTACTTCCAAGTATTCTTCAGGATACAGGGAAACTTGATGGACTGTAAAAACAGCAATATGAAAATGAAAGTGCCATTTGCTCTGAATTATACTCTATTTTTATCATGAAACATTCCAAGCGCTGAAAAGTAAAGAAATGCATGCACACAGAAAGGATGATTTAGTTTCCACATTTTAAACCATAGACAATCTTAGCTGCACATTGAATGCTTTCTGTGAACTATGATTGAAGATTATAGGCACCGCTGGTTTGGTAACAGGATATGCAGGAAAAATTTACCTAATGCTGCATCATAGTGTTACTAATCCTAATTGCTTAATGCTGAAGTAACAAGGCATAGTGTTACTTCAGTAAACTTGCTAGAAAGATGTTATAACTGTCAGCTACACAAGTAAATGTGGAAGGAAAGCAAGAACCATTTAAAGACACATCCAGCTAGGGGAAGTGATGTCATCACAAATAGCTCTTACCTCTTAATTCTTAATTTTTTTCTGTCAAAACAACAAGCCAGGAGAAGGAGATAATCCAGTCTCCATTGTAGGCGAGTCAATTCTGAGCACATTAGAGCAGAATCGCCCTTACATTCATTGTGGTTTCTAACCTGTACCCGATGATCACCATTTTACACACGTGTCGGTCTTTTACAGTAATCTATGACAAAGAATTGAAAGAAAGAGAAAAGGCTTAGGGAAGTTCAATTGAAAAGCTCTGGTACAGAGAAAATCTAGGGCAAAACAATCAAAATAACTGAAGTTAATACGTTTAAATAAAAATAGCTTAGTTTTTAAAAACACAGAAGTAAACAAAACAAATGCCTTCAACTGTATTTTATTTAATTTCTATTACTAGATTTAACAGTTTATATCAGAAAATCATCAGAGTTTCATGTCTAGCTGATTAACAGATAAAATGTCTATATAGCCCCACAGCCACTCCTAAATTAAACGCTGGCAGGCCGAACCATGAAAGCATCACCACTAACTATCCAGTAACAAACATGTCCTGTTTGGATTGTATGCAGTGAAGATTACCTTATTTTTTCTTTAATTGCTGTAACAAACAGCACAGCTCTACCCAATAATTTGTATTAATTTATTATGAATAATCACAACCACTTTTTTAAAATTAAGACTTTGTCAGATCATACCTTTTCTCATTGTAGCTTGCAGTTTCTGCTTTAAGAAATGCTGGCTGTTGCTAATGTTTAAGTTGAAAATTTAGCAATAGTATTTTTCATTTGTTATTATCCTGCGGGTCTCTTATCCGATTTACCTAAGAAAACAATTAAACTTTCTTCACAGGCCAGCACTACCACTACTAACTATTTTCTACAAGCACAACAGGTTTATCAACATGTTCTGGGTATACCAATAAATCACAATGATATAGGGAGCAAAGCCAAAAATATTTTCCATCTCTCTAGAGAGCTTCTAATGTTCACAATGTCCTTTGATTTACATTTAAATAAAATCAAGAATCACACCCTTTTTGCTACTAGTGCACTACTGGGAGCAAAACCAATTTCAGTGCGCTAAAAAGCCAAGACCCCTCTCAAGCTTGGTCAGGGCAGAATGTTTTTAAATTACTACAGGTAATGGGACTCACAGGATGAAAATGAGTGGTTAATGAAGAGAGCTATCTCACTATAGCTGTGATATGAATCTTTTCTCAACAGGGAATTCTCATAAAAGCACAGAAAATATATAACTGAAACCCTCTTTTAGAACAGGCTGAATATCACAGCCTTAACCATCTCCGTCCCTTCCTAGTACTGTGGTTTTCAAGCTCCTACATAAAATACGCAAAATGTTGAAAAACCAGAAGCATAAAAGCCAGTCAAGTGCATTATCATGCGTTGACAACAGCAATACGTGTTACCCCCACTTTAAAATGATTATTTAGTAGGCAATCACTCACATACTGTATTAATTATTTGTCATGTATTTAATGTACTAATTGTCATGTGTTGACAATTTCAGACTAAGCTTATTTTTGGTAAAAATGAAGACTAAGGAATATAACTTAAAGGCATTTGTCAAAAGCCAACTATAAAGTTTAACTTACTGTAATTTACAAGTGGCACAGGCTTTATATTATCAGAAATTATTGCAAGAGCAAACAATTTTTGAACTACTGATGAATTTAACCATTATGGTGCATTGGATAAACTTAAGGAATCTGACAAGTGACTAAACAACAACAATAATAATTATGATGATGATGATGATGATGATGATGATGAGTAAACAAGTGGATTTTGACATGAAGACCAAGAAAGCCATTTGCAAAAGAAAGAAGACTAAACATTTAAACATCTATAAAACCCCAAACAGTCAACGAACGTACAGATTTTTAACAGATTGTGACAGAAGAAAGACATCGCATAGAGCGGGGAATTCAAGCATTTGGGCAACACTGAAATCTCCAGTACAAGACAAAAAACTAAGACTGCACACTATGCCAAAATACTCGAGGCAAAAAGAGTAAATCCTTCAACAACACTGCACTTGATGAACTGCAAAGTTAATCGTTTCCAGGTGTACAATTCCCATAAAGATAAATAGGAAATATCAAAAATGAGATATTGACTCACTGCCAATGTTAGTATTAGAGCCCTTATTGCACATGACCCCTTTTGCTCTGCAGGGTCAGGACACGTTTGTGCGACTGAAGCAAATCTGATATTCTGCAATACGTGTTATCAAGACATAAATGGAGCACCTGGGATATGCGCAGAGTGTATTATACTGGTTTAAGTCTAGGTTATGTCATTGGCATTGTCTGCCATCGACACAGCCCAAGTGACGAAGCGCTGCTCAAGTCAGGTGACATGGGAGAGTGCACCGCTATGAGTGAGAGCAGCACTGAGCTTCCAGCCCATCCTAACAGTGCTGCAGGCTGTCTGGGACTTGCAGAGTGAGTGTCGAATGGGTGGCAAGCACACAGAGTTCATTATCACTTGGTGGTTGGTGGCTCCAAAACTGGGATATATGAATAGATTTTTTTAATATAAAAACACATTTAACGGATGATACCGATACAATTTGGCATCAAATGTTTGCCGCAAATTAAAAACGACAGATTGCTGAGTCACTGCAATTACCTAATCTGAATATAACTGAAAAATGAATTGTGGAAGGAAGCCAAGGACTGGCAGGAACCTGTAGTTTGACGACAAGAAAAGTTGCAAAATCAGAGAGTGAGAGAGCATGTGTGGGCGGTGGTGGCATAGCACAGATGCCTAATTTGGTGAATACAGCAACCAAGGGAAGGTGTGCAAATAATTTTGGCTTTGAACAACAGTATTTGCAGTGTATGTTTTGCTACGCATTTGTTTTAAAAGATTGTATGTAATGATGCTATATTATTATAATTGTAATAAAAATACAATAATGTAGTATTTTCCCCATAATTGAAATGACCCTTGTCAATGCATGTTTTTGCAAAGTTATGCCAAATGAAGTCTATCCATTCCGCTAACTCGTTGTTTATCTTATTTCTTGTAATCCCAAATAGTGAGAATTTTAACCAAACATGTCGCATTTCTTTCTCCCGAGTGTAAAAAGAATGTAGATTAAAAACTGTGGAAAAGGTTAACAAAGCCAGTAAGTAAATTTAATCAATGAAACATTTATGCATATTAAACTGCTGCCACAAAGTCACATTGCACTGTATCATTAGCAAGATGGAAACTCTGCACAACATTACTTCCAAAGCATATTCAAATATGTCCATGTGACTGCATACTGATTGCAGCAGACAGCAAAGATACAACAAAGGATCTCATTTTTCTTATTTGCTTCTGCACCTAAAACATCTTGGCTTCTAGGTCAACAACACAAGAGAAAGTGTGAGAGTATGTGCGTCTTCACCTATGACACCAGGATAATTGCAGGCCCCCTGTCCTGCCCAGAGATCCTTAAAGCAATTAAGTATGGGCACCCCAGCAAGAGCAGAACTGTAAGGACAGATGGGAGTAAAGCTCTGTGATTGAAGGCAGGAGGCCAGGTTATTCTTAGACTCTTCAGTCCATTTTATCGGTGCTGCCAAGGGGTTTCCAGTTTCGCAACAGGATTCGAGCAGCACCGCTTCGGCACTTCTTGAGTTGCCACTTGCAGTATTTCAAAGGCGGGAGGCCCAGATCTGCCGAACAGCCCTCTGCTATTGCTGTTAATCCTTTTCATGCACAGAAAGGCTGGTGCTCGTAGAGAAATTCGCCCCGAGAAGAGAGAGCACAGAGCGCGGTTTCCAATAATCCAGGCCTGAAAACATTCGATCAAAAAAAAAAATACAACTGCTGGTTCTTCATAGAGCAGATGTTCAAGGACATTGTTAAGGAGCACTGTCTTCTTTGCATAACATGTTGATGGTTTACAACAGGGAAAGTTTCTAAGAGGCGCCACGTGAACAGCATTCAGACGCCAAGCCTGTACAGATTTCTCTTTAACCAGCGCAGCTTTTGAAAGCTGGCATTTTGTCCTACCAACCCGTCGATGTTTTCAGTCTACTGCTGCAGAGGTGAGCCATGGCACATTTCACAAATGAAACATTCTGTGAAAACACAGGTCTTACTGAGTGGCAAGTGTGATACAGATCTGTAAAAGCCCATCTACTCAGTTAAAGAAGACATTATCCTATTCCTTTCATTTACACCAGAGCTAGTCAGAGTCAGTAAGCCTGTATTTATGTTGACCTGTCGGGTCTGTTCAGTTCCCAAGCACCTCACGTTTGGAGCAGCACTGGCACTGTATATTAAAGCTCTGGAGAAGATTCCCCAATTCCCCAAGAACTACCAAAAAAAACAATGACAAATAAAGTAAAAACAGGGGCTTTCAACTGGAAAGAGGATAAGTCTGATATGTTGGTTATTCATTCTTTAACTATGAATGTTACAGCATATTTTTCCAAATTTCACAGTTTTAAAAACATGCGATTCATTCCCCCTGCTTGAGAAAATATACCAAAATTCAATATGAAATATCTTAAACTGTAATTAATAAGGGTACATTTAATAAACAAGAAATAATACAGCAAGCATATTGTCCTTTCTTTAAGATACTATTTATGTGCAATTTTTCATGATGGGAATTTCTATATCAAGCACTGGTTTCCCCTGCAAATACGCATTTAAACGTATTTTTACATTAACATTGAAGCCCAGTTACATGGGATACTCTGTGCCTCCGCTATCAGCTCGATAAAGTGCACCCAGGGAGCACAGCAAAGCATGATCTCTTTCAAAAAAAAACATTTTAAGCATTACCAAAATGTTTGTGCTGTGTTTCTTATCCTCCATTGAATTATATTTTTAAAGTATTATTATTTGGTTTTACAAAAACCCCAACTTACGTTATGAAACAATGATAATCCAAGGAATGTGAGGAACTCACTGGCACAATTCAACAAGCCAAGTGTATAACAGTAACCACATGACTTGAACGCCCCCCACTCTCATCTTGCCTTTACACTCTCTTTTACAGCTGATAGCATTAATCTCGCATTTTTCAGCCCAAAACTGTACATACAGTAAGAGGGGATCCAACTCTAAGCATCTTAAGCACTTATGCACACAATAACAACAGACAATGTGCCTCACAAATTCAGGCTTCATAGGAGTGTGGCTAAACGAAAGCCATTGCTGGAAAGAAAACACATCAAATCTCAATAACAGTTTGCCAGAAGTCACGTGAAAGTCTCAGAGACGAGGTGAAAAAGGAATCGAAGGTCTGGTAAGACTAAAGTTGACCTTACTGCCCTCAACACTAAGCACAGTTTGGTGTAAGCACAACACCACACGTTATCCCTACAGTGAAGCATGGTGGTGCTGGCGTCATGCTAGGAGGATTCTCCCGGGCATCGTGGCCTGGAAGACTTGTGAAGACAGAAGGCAAGATGGATGCAGAGGAAGCCTGGAGGAGAATCTGCTGCAGCCTGCCAGACGCCATGGACTTGGGAGAAGATTCATCTTGCAGAATAACAATGACCCTAAGCCAGACTGGAGTGGTTCAAAGCAAAAAGCCAAAGCTCTGGAGTGGTCCAGTCAAAGCCTTTGAATCTTTAATCGGGAATGTGTGGCAGGAATTGGAAATGGCTGCTCACCAACAGTCCCCATCCATCTCAAGGGGGGGTTTGAGCAGTTTTGCAAAGCACAACGATCACCAACTGCAGTGTCCAGATGGGCAAAGCTGGTAGAGACACTTATCCAAGAAGACTCGGGGTGGTAATTTGTGCCTCTACCAAATATTCACTCAAGGGTCATAAGTACTTACACAATTAGCCCTTTTGTGTTTTATATTAATGACAAATGTAGGACAAACTGTGGAATTTTGTTTCACTTTGACATTACAGAGTGTTTTGTGTTGAACCACTGCAACAAATCCCAATTAAATACAATATGATTCCATGTTGTAACAGAATAAAATGTGAAAGGGTCTAAGAGAAATGAATGGTTTTGACAGCCACTTTGTTGGCACATTTGGGAATTCAATGTTTTCTTAATCCAGCTCATTTACAGCACTGAAGCTACTGGGGTATTCTCGGGATGCTAATGTCAAAACTTCATGAAAGGCAAATATGAAATCATAACCCATCTGTACCCGAAGGAAAAATAAATCATTTCTGAAATTAAATGATACTGCTTCAAGAAAATGAAAGATCTTATTGAACTATCATGGGAAATGAAGGTGAGGCCCTGAATAGGTCTGGGCAAAAGTAAAAGCAGCATTTCTATCCTGCTGTGTCAAAGAACAGCACCGCCAGCACAGGAATCCCAGTGCTGGAGCTGGAAGGCACAACACAATAGAATTGTGCCCTTAGCAAGGATAAAACAGGCCCTCACGGTGTAATGATTACCGATCACTCCGGCACGTCCAGCAACAACATTGATTCTGGTTGATAAACAAATCATGACTGTGCTATTTCTAACGTGAAGGGACACAATTTTCACATTAGACTCCGGCTTTTGTGGCTTTTAAGACATATATACGTCTATAGGCCCCCCCATACAAGGGACTAGAGCTAATTCCATTACTGAGCTCCGCTTCCAGCTCCACCTTTTTTCATGTGAACCGGTCGGGTTATCCGCAGATGCCCTTGCCCGTTACAATTTCTTCGTTTTGTCTCCAAACGCCAACAACTCCGCACCACACACCCCAGTGAAAACACGAACGCCACGGGCGTACGCACGGCGCCGGCTTTACCTCTCGGGCTGGCGTCCTGCAGATACGGCGGCGCTGTAGGTGTGACATTACCGGAGTCTGGCAATGACAGCAAGGGAGACCGCTCATCCACCGTCTCCGAGGCCATGTCTGCAAGCGGTATCGCCTGACAGCCGCAGAGTTACAACAACAGCGCCCGTAGGTTTTCCTCCGCTTCTCTGGAAGCGGACCAATGCGTCATGAACAGCACAGACCCAGCAAGGGCAGCTGTTTGGAGGCGGGGCCAAGGGGCGGGGGGGCGGCCGGGGATAAGCCAGGGAAACGTGGGAATGAGCACGGGAATCCTGCGCTAGTGTAACGCAACGCTCCTGTCCGGGACTTCTCCCAGCCCAATCGCAGTCTTCGCAGATGACTTGGGCTCAGATGATGCGTCGTGTCGTGAAGTGATGCAACAGCGCAGAACGGCTTTCTCGGCGGAGCCCGAAGAATTGTGAATAAACAAAAAGGATGGAATTAAAAAACGGGAGTGGTTACAGTTAATTTCTGTTAGAATGTGTATATATATAAAGAATATCTGTGTAATATCTACAGTGTTCAGGACGCTTATAATAAATCAGCATCGGTCAACAGAGAGCGTTAAACAGGCAGTGGTTGTATATAGTGGGACCTCTGTACAGGACTACTGAAAGACAGGAGACGTTAGTAAAACAGAAAAAAACGGGGTTGTTCATTAAAAAAACGTACCCCTTGACAAGGACCTTAAACTCTCAAGGAAATTAAACTCTCGTGTTTTATATGTACAGTATGTTTGTATAGAATTGCTGCTTCTTGTTCTCTTTCATCTTTAATCTCACCATTAAATTGATCACATGTCTTAAATCCAGTCTCGCTCTCCATCCCAGCAAAAAAAAAGTTTTAGGGGTTTTAATGTATTATTTGGTTATCTGAAGTGTACAGCTGTACGACTTCGATAGCCTTCGAATAAAAGTTCGAATCAGGTTCCGTATTTTATTAAGTTTTTGAGGGGAGGGGAACAGAATGATATAAATACAATTAAAATAAAATAGTAGAATGTTGTTATAAAGACCCTATAGGATCACGTTTAGCCTTAAACATCTGGAAAAGTTGCAACCAGCACATTCCCACCTCCAGCCTCCAGCAGCAGGAAATACGTCACGGACCCCCGTGCAGCGTGGTTGGACCCGGTCTCGTGGTAGTCATATGACGAAGCGCGTTCGGAATCAAGAGCGGCCTGTGTCTTCTCAAACGCAGACGTCACACAGCGAGACAGAACAAAATGCGTTTCCAAGCGGATTCCGCAAAGATACTGTAAATGCAAAACCCAGTTGTCTCCGCGTTCAGCATATGACGATTTTTAGTTTGCAATGTCCCCCCCCCAGTGAGATGTATTAGAAATAGACACGTCCTGCACAAGAGTTTCGTTCCCTTTGTGCATAATTATCTCCATCTGAAATAAAGTTGTCATTTGAAAATACCTTTTAATTCCTCTATATAAACTGTATGGTTAAGCAGTAATTGATTGCTGTACATAACTGAATTTGTAGGTCGCGCCTAAAGATTAAAATAATCGATTAAAAATTATTCGTTTAAGAATAAACTAGAAACATGTCAATTATAAGGAAGGCTTCGTTACCAGCAGTTTATAATTTGTGTCAACATGGTGCCAGTGTTTCGAAATGCACTGATGCACACGGGTGGTAACGAATGTATACATTCAGTATCATTATATCGCCTATTAACAGCTGCTTAATCAGAAATTATGAAGTTCGGGAATGACTGTACACAATTTATAAAGTATGCGCTAAAGCTACTAGAAAAAGTATATTTTAATAAAGCTATTTTTGAAGTGGAGGGCTGGATGGAGGAATATAGCCTGAGTTCTGAGTTTATTTTATTCGATTTCTATTGCACTATTATGTATTATTATGTAAAATTAATTTTGTAACTTTAATTTTGTGATTTCTATCCCCCCGGTGTGCTCGCAGGAAAGACATTCCATTGCCAGCAACTACTGCTGCACGCTGTGCTGTTGTGTATTTGATAATAAACTTGGTTGATTGAATTGATTGAGTCTAAGCAAGCAGCCAGAAGAGCAACATGGCCCAATTAGAAATGGTAATTAAGAATAGGGGTTCCTCGGGAACAGAAGAGAGAAACACCCTGGGCTGCACACTTGTCCACTAACCTCGTTTTCCCTTTTAGTCTTGCTTTAAAGACCTGACGATCTCAAGCCACTAGATAACCTGTTGTTGACAACTACAGTACCCATAAATCTCTGCGACAGACGCTACGTCACGCACTACCCATTTTTATTGGCTAATGTGTCCCATGTGATTACATCTTTAAGCCAATAGTTTTGCGAGAGGAGAGGTGAAAGTGGAAAGAGGCTAGCAGCATGGTGTTGATTAGCAAACTTGTGATCTGATTATTAATTTAAAACCCAAAAGGAAATATGGAAGGAGTGGAAAAAGCAGAAGAGCTTATTAGTAAGCAGCATCGGAAAGAGAAGAAAGATTTACAAGGTGAATTAGTGAGTTGTTTTGTGCAGAGCTTAATCTGAATATCTTTAAATAGAATCAGTTTTAGCTTTCTTGCATGGTAAGGCTTTGGTTTGTGGTAGGATTCATGTAAGAACTGTAAACCGGGGCTTGCTTATAGCTTCGAAAACATTGTGAGTCATTATATATGAGAATTGTTTTGCCTCAAGAGTAATTTTAATCGTTTTTTTTGTGTTATGAACACTGTCGCCAACACAGTTTTAAAACGTAGACTGTTCCATTACCTTTAATTATAATAAAAGAGTTATGCGATTTAGTGGGCGTTAATTTTGAATTAACGCTTTTTGTTATGACTTCAGTCTTCATGGTAAAGTGTGCCTCTTTTTACACAGCTAAGATCCAGAGTATGAAGAACGCTGTGCCCAAGAATGACAAAAAGAGGAGAAAACAGCTTACTGAAGAAATCGCAAAGCTGGAAGCTGAGCTGACACAAAAACACGAAGAAGAGCTGAAACAGCTGAAGGATACTGTGGCTACAGACACGGTAGGTACATCCCTACAAACGAGTTACTATCGATTCAATTTGTACTTAGGTCGCCTGTAGCTTTCTGTTTTTACACTTTTTTACACACAGTTTTACAGAAAGCTGTCAAAGAGTATAATGTATGAATCAGTGTGTTTGACTTTGCATTACCATGTTATCCTTGTCGTGGATAAATCTGTATGATTCTGTAAAATATCACAAACTTAACATGTAGTCATTTATCTGCAGCATTGTGCATTACTTTTAATTATTTTTTAATTATTGCTTATGTTGTATGTATATTATTGCTGGTTGACTATACCCGTTTAAACACTGTTTTGCGTAGTTTATAGTACCTTATGTTGTTCATTTGTGTCTTGGACTGTAGTATGAAGTGATGCAAAACGTGCACAATGCAGCAAAAAAACAGAGTTTCTCTGTGTGTGTGTGAGTTTGGTAAGGTTCTGGTTGCATTCGGAATTCCATATGGTCAAGAGTTTATTTCAATAAATTATTCTGTATTAAATTGTTTGTGTTTTTCAGGAAGACGTGGCTGCTAATGGACTAGAAAACCTGGTCTTAGACAGTGAAGAGCAAAAAGATGTTAAGCAAACTCGAGTTTCCAAAGCCCAGAAGAGAAGGGTGAGAACAGGTGCTTTGTTTCCGAGATGAGGGGTTGTGCCCAACATCAGAAGTATTTCAATTTAAATATGGAAACGTTTGTCATCAGTGTCGAGCAATTTCTGCGAGCACAAGCAAATCCTGTAAAGGACTGGGTATCATAAAGTGTTTTTTTTTCTTCATTTGTAAATGTCTACAATTTGTCTAGTTTTGTGGTTTTCCTTCATAAGAGCAGAAGAAGGGTTAGAAACGAGAGAAGTTCTTTGGGGTCATTTCATTAAGGCTGTTGTCTTGGTAGTTAGAAATAGCTGTAATGGCCTCCAATCTCTCCAGGACAAGAAGGCAGCTTTGGAAAAGGAGCGGGAGACCAGAATTGCAGAAGCTGAAATTGAGAACCTCTCAGGATCCCGACACCTGGAGCAGCAGAAGCTTTCCAAGATGCTGGCCGAAAGGCAGCTGCAAATCAAGCACATCCCCTCTGACGGGCACTGCATGTACCGGGCAGTGGAGGACCAGCTGCAGGAGAGAGGCGGCTCCTACAGCCTGGAGCAGCTCCGAGGTCGCACTGCTCAATACATGCGAAGTCACATCGATGACTTCCTGCCTTTCCTAACCAACCCGAACACAGGCGACATATACACACCAGGTAGGGCTGTCCGGGTGGTGACCAGTCAAATCCTGGAAATATCTCTGCCATTTTGTAGACGCAGTTTTAGTTTTTGTATAATATTTTAGATGTTTCACATTTAATAAAAGTGTGAATGTTCAATGGATTGCATGATTTTTACATTTATTTTAAGCTTTCTCATTCGCCTCTTTGAGGTGTGTGTGTGTGTGTGTGTGTGTGTGTGTGTGTGACTGAGCGGAGATGTGGAAAACATGCAATTTCGGGACTCCAAATCAAGAGTGTGTAACAAAATTAAAATGTCTATATATAGCTTTCCCATTCTCACAGAAGAGTTTGAATCGGAAAACTGACGTTTTAGGTTTATTTTCCTATGCTAAATAATGAGAAAACAAAAAGGTTGAGGCTTCATTATCTTAGCAGGATATCTTAGGCATTTGGAATATCGACAGGGACTTGTGAAGCAACAATGTTTGTTTTTGTTTTCTTTTACAGAATTTTTAAAACATTGAATGCCACATATGTAAAAAAACCGAGATCTTTCCTACAACATTCTAATCATGATTAAATTGCTACATTTTAATAAATAAAATGCCTAATTAAACAAACTGATGACTAGCCATGTTTCAGATGGAGGTAATATGTTATGTGTAAATGTAAAAATATAAGACAGAGGCTAATAAATGATTAATTGCTAATAGCTGGTATATCCCAGGATTTTTGTCCAGCAAGGATTCGACAGTCTGTGTGGGCTCTTGCCACTTTTTACTATAATTTATTACTGTTAATTAAGAGCAATGACATATAACAGACTGCTAATCGATTATAACATACAATGAGCACTATTCAAGATGTTAGAATTCCATTTATATGTCTTTATAATTCAAGGATTTAAGGGTGGGCTTGTAGGATTTGCAATCAGAACTAAAAAATGCACACTAAGCAATTAAAAAAAAATCAGACTACCATCATAGGTTTTGACTTTCAAAGATGCTAACGTGCTTTTGTTATTCATCAGATTTTGATACGAAAAATGAAAAGTAATAAATTGTCGAACTAGACTTGTGTATGGTCTGCTTATGAACTCACTGTCAGAACTTCCCATGAATATCTTTTAAATATGTTTGTGATCTATTTGTTGTTTTGTGTTTTGTTGGAGCTCGGTGCTTCTAAAGAGTTATAATTATTGTAATATAGCATATGGTAAATCCAGAATTTAAATATGTTAAAACATGCTTCTTAAACTTAAAAAGCATTAATGATAGATATGCCTCCCTGAGGCAAAATAAAAGAAAAGAACATGCCTGATGTGGTATTAAAATTGAGACTCTCTTTCCAGACGAGTTTGAGAATTACTGTAATGATGTGGCCAACACAGCAGCCTGGGGAGGACAGCTAGAGGTAAGAAAATCCCTTCTTATAAATGGGGCCGTCTCTTTGATTTGCGTCTTGCAAAAGAGCCAGTGACTTCAGTTAACACAGAGCAGTTGTTGACTGAAGAACATGCATGGTGCAGTAATAGGATGTCTGCTCATATCAGTTTATCTTGCGATAAAAAATGTGTTCATTATTGTGTTTTCCTCCTACCAAGGAGAGTATGTGGTTTTCCAGCACATTACTTCCTGAGAAATGGCATTATTTTGTAAGAACAACCTGTAATCTATATATTGTGGAGAGCATCTCTGACAGTGAACTGTTTCTATGGCCCTGGAAGAATGAAAACCTTGCACAATTCTCATCTACCTTTATTTGCATTTAAATCCTAAGAGAGTTTGCAGAACTAATTTGTTATTCATCTGTACATAAGTGACTCGATGTAGTTGTATTCATATTTTGCAATGCATGGTCACAAAACCCTTGTAAAATTGTTTTACTGCACATTGGTGTGATTTTGTTGTATTTTCTTTCTAACAATACAGCTGCGAGCTTTGACACACATTCTTCAGATGCCAATAGAGGTCATCCAAGCAGACTCCCCTGTAGTAGTTATTGGTGATGAATATGAGAAAGCCCCAATTACTCTAATGTAAGTAAGCTATAAGGCTTTATTAAATGATCAGGTGAATTTTGCTAAATTGAGAGGGAAACTAAGTAATAATCTATACATCTACAGTCTACAGCATGTATGAAGTCCTTTGAAGAAACAGAAGCTGCACATTGGCTCACATAATTTAAAACAAAATGCAAATTTTCTCTGATTATTTCCTAAAATTCAAATAATATCCCTTATGGATGCTTATGTGTAGCTCCGATTAGCAACATCAAATTTTTGCTCACTTCTTTTAAATTGCTTAACTTCTGTATGCATAAGTGATATCGTTAATTTAAGAGTAAGGCTGTGAAACTTGGTATCCTGGTTTAATTTTGCTCTGGATTTGGAACATTTGATTTATGGACATTTCTTCCTTAATGCAATCTATTTCTCACATCTGTGCCTGATCTTCTGTGCTGTGTGGCTGTTGCTTGTTCAATGAATGTTGAGTACATGATATAGTCTGTATAGATTTTCAGAAGACTGTTTATATTCAGAAGACTGTTTAAGTCCTTATAGGACTTATTTAATTGCAGGTATTCAGGGAAATTCAGGTATTTAATATAAATATCAAACAGGTAATTGTTAAAATTGAGTGTCCTTCCATCTTCAAGACTATAGTTCTCTATTACCAAACAAATTGCTTGCTTAATTGATTAGGTAGACCATAGTGCTGCCTAATACTTAAAGAACAGGTGATATCAGGAGCAGTTTGAGAGTAACAGCCATGATCAGAATTGGCAATCTGTAATCTGGGCTTTCAGAGTTTAGTTTTAATATTTTGTTTACTTTAAGTATTTTGGCTCACTATCTTAGAGTGCAACATGGTGTCACTCAGTTTAAAAACACCGAAGAAATGTTTGACAAATTTGGTTCAGTTGTGTCTTAATTAGGTTTCCACTATGGGCAGATTGGTGCACTTTCAGTCCTATGAAATATTACAGAACAAATGTGCGTGTTAGGGTGGTTTTAAAATGGGATGAGTGCCCATATGTACATTCTGCATGTTAAAATGCTGCCATATGTTCGATGAATAAAATATGCTTCCAGACAGAAGCAGCAATGGGAGAGTTTTTTTTTCCTCCGGTTTTCTGTTCAAGCCAGTTTTTGCTCATATAGCAACTCATGTGCATTTTTTCCTTTTAACTACCCCAGATACTTTCAGAAGTCCCATGTTGAACAGAAAATAACAAACCCGCAGTGCACCTGTTGCCAAGCTTGAAACACTACCTAATTTCATTATGGTCACCTTAGTGTGCCTTCTGACTCTGACTGCTCCTGGTGATATGTTATCTGAATCCAAGGTCTATCTAAATGATTTCATGGATTACAGTATTTATATGAAAATAATAATGGAGCATTTGTAGGTGTAAGTAGGAAAGAAGGGTTTATTTGCACCCTTGTTCACGTATTTCAGATGTGAATAATTTTCAGTTCAGTTAAACAAGCTTTATTGGTATGGCTGATGAATTAGTGTTGGCCAAGCAGACACAATTAACACAACATCTACCAACATTAAAAAGTAATGTAACAAAAAAGTACATTTCTGTCTAGTGTTCAATTATATATTACTGAGAATATATGAATGACCAGTAGATGGCACAATATGTTTAGAGGATTCTAAAGGATGTCAGAATGTTTGAATTGTTTGTGATATTTCTGTTTTTTTCCAGATATATGAGGCATGCATATGGACTGGGAGAACATTACAGTTCTGTAGAGCCCTTAAAGGAAGAAACAAACGAAGAGGATAGCTGAAACAAATTCACATTTTCTTCACTAACATTGTCCAATGTTATGAAGGTACACTCACAACATATCACACATCTTGTCCCAAGAACAGTGTAAATACTAAATTTTAATCGTTAAAAAGGTCAGCACAATGTGGACACTGTTAGGAGAACAAGAATGTATCATGTATATTTAGTACTGTATTTCAAATAAGAAGAGAATGAACCATGTGAGTATGTCCCTTAAGTCAGAAAAGGGCTTACTGTTTTTATTTGGAATGAATTTGGAAAGAAAAAGAGACAAAAATGAATTTTCTGTCTGCTTTAATCCTGGCTTGGAAAGATGGGTTCCTTAAGAATCACATGTTGCAATTAATATTTTAGAGTATTTTGTACTCTGTGTCATCTTTTATCCAGTCATACATGATGTATACCAATGTTTTAAGGTTGTATAAAATAAAAACCTTTAACATTTCCATACTTGGAATGATCTTTTCCTTGAAACTTAAATGGTTTTTTTCTTCTTTTTACTCAATTTGCAATGTCCTTATTTTGATTAGAAGTGGGAAGAGGATGAATTGTCAGTTTTACAGTCCTGGTTATAGTCTTGCCTTTTCCCCTCAATATTTACAAAGGAAATGTCTAGCAATCTGGATATGTACTCCTTAATCCAAAGGCCCTGCTATTCAGATATTATATTGTCATTTTCCATCATACGACATGTACACAGTGGATGTTAAGTTGGTAAACTTGATTTCTTCATTTGGGCTTCACTTTGGGTTGTGTCAGCTTGTCATTGGTGGTTTGCTATTAGCCACTGCACTCCTGTCCTGGAGGAGTATGAACTGAGGTCAGCATCATGATGTTCAGTTTACAGAACTCCAATAAGCAGGGCTACAACTCACACTTGCACACATTTTCTACAAAGAACTACAGTAGGTGGTTTACCTTTTCTATATTTTTCTTTAATTTCTGACATTTCATTCCCATGAAATGTTTTGTGCTGTCCGATGTTCCTTGGTCTTTGAGATTTTGTGCAGGGCTAATTATTCCATCAAGAAAACATTTAAACTCATGTGAGAGAAAATAAGAGTAAATTAACATTTTGATATGCCTTTTTCCTCCACTGGTCAAGCTTTAGGCGTAAGTCTATTTTTGAATTTAGAAGAGCCAGTTCTTTTTAGTTCATACCCACCAGATTTTACAGTCTTCGGCAGAACAACATTGAAAAGAGTTTTTACTACACCTCTATCATTCATGTTTTTTTTTTTTAAAACAGTAAGCAACAATGTTTGATGCACTTGATGCCCGTGGTTCGTCTTCATGGGAGAAAAAGTTTGTGTCTTTTAGGCTGGCAGTAACAGTGCTTAGCACTCGAAACAGGATTAGATCTTGATTAGACCAGCCATTAAACTGTGACTTCTTCACGACATACGGATATGTTTTAAACGGCATATGCATTATTAAATTATTTTAAATCCCCGCCTCCTGTACAGTATTTTCTCCTTGAGACTGGTTACAAGGTGGTAGTAATAAAGGCTATAAAACGAATGCACTCAGGCCACTAGGGGGCGTCTCAGTCTCACTCTGGTTAGAGATGTGTGAGTTTGGAGCGGCGCGTGTTGCGGTTTCCAAGGAGACAGCCAAGCTGTCAGTCGGTGCGGAAGTAGAGGGCAGATGCGCGAGAAGGACGAGGGCGCCGTGGAGTATTTTGTGACTCTGCAGCGGTTTGGGAATATGGCAGACAGTTTGGTACTGAGGGCCATAAAGGGGAATGCCAGATCTTTAAACTTGAACTCTAAGAAAATACACCAGGTTCCTACGGCCGTCGCGAAGTTAATGTCCCTTTCGACTTTACAGCTGAAAAACAACTTTATTGCTACGCTTCCGTGCGAAGTACAAACGCTGATCAATGTGAGTGCAGGGTGCAATGAACTTAATATAGGAAACTATTGCTCGTCTTCGATGGTGTATTTTTAATTTAACCTATTTCTTGAACAGGGGCAGCTACACTGCATTTTAAATAAAACTCTTCATTTCACAAATATAAAATCGATTTCATTAGATATGATCTAAGTCTCTTTTATTGATTAAATATCTCGTTTTGTTAACGATGAACCTTTCTTCTTCCTCTCTGTCAGCTGACCGAACTCAATTTAGGCAACAATGTCTTGGAGGAGGTGCCGTTGGTCTTGACGCATCTCAGGTCATTGAGGAAGCTTCACCTGTTTGGGAATCGCATTGAAAAAATACCCTCAGAAGTGTTCGGTATGTTTGCCAGCGGAAGTTAAAGAAGCCAGGTTTAACAGGAAATTTAGAAAATGTTGGAAAGCCAATATAACTTCTAATAAATATTATTATATAGTACAACTAAAAAAGAGATTACATTTACAGATCTATGTACAGAACGTATTGGATTTATAAAAATGAATGCTATAGTTGGAGTAAAGAAACGCAATGTTTACAGTTAATTATATACTGTATATTGCTCAAAATCCGTTTATTGATTCTTAGTAGTGGTTTACTGTAAAGGTGTGAAAAGAGCGAGGGGTAGAACAGCCATTCTTTCTTTAAATCACAATTTCAAAATCGTGTTTTACAGAGGGACTCTCAAATCTTAAGTTTCTCAATCTAAACCACAATAAGGTTCGAGTTATTCCCGCAGAAGTCCACAGGTATGGATACTTAACTTGACTGTGTTTTTGTCCGAGTGACTCAGGAGGATTATAGGTCAACAGTACATTCAGAATCGAGGCTATACAAGGCGTCCTCAATACACAAAGCCAAACTGACTTTGTAATTTGCTAAATAGCATGAAAAATGAGAGGGCATTTTCTATTCCATTCTAGTGTTGTTATAAGTGCTTTGTATTTCTTACTGTAAGATTCATGAAACCTAATAATAATAGTTTGAGCTGATTGGTTTATGTTAATTCTTAATGTAGGCTATACAATGAATTGTAGGATAGTTTAATATTATTTTTAACTACCTGTCTAAACATTTTTCTGTTGTTTTTCAGTTTTTAATTATTATAGTTTATGAAACTATATTATTAAAATGGATGTGTAAAGATACATATGCTGTAAAAGTATCATAGTGTTTAGATTAAGTTTAGAATTTTCACATTTGAAAGCGGTTTTGTACTTCAGATGTGTAACAATGTAGAGAGTATAATTAGCACTGTGGGAAACAATATGTTGGAGGCCATCAGCTCTTTCCAGGGTCATAGAGGCCTTCCTTTTGTTTCAGGCTTATTAACCTTGAATACCTCAGTCTGAACAGCAATCAGCTGGAAGACATACCATTTGAACTGTGTTTTCTGAAGAATCTGTCTGAGTTCCATGTAGCCAGAAACAGGCTCACTCTCTTACCACAAGAGGTCTGCTTTTTAACAAACCTTACCAAGCTCTTCTTGGCAAGAAACCAGCTTAATGGACTTCCTGAAGTAAGTACAAAATGCCACTGTTTGAGATATATATTTCTGCTTATACTTAGAAGCATTAAAATTGCAACAAATGCTCTTGGGTCCATTTCTCATCTATTTAAATGCCTTTCAAAATATAGAGCCTTAAATTTTAGTTCTTTTTACTGAGTAAAGTGCAAAGGATTCGTTTCTAATCTAGTAATGATAAAACAACATCAGGGTTTTGGTAGAGGGAAGGTCAAGGCTTTGCATCAGTGGATATATAGTACCAGCCTGAGATAAATTATTCATTTAATGTATCTTAGAATATTCTGCTTTGTAAGAAATGAAAATTGACATTTCTTTTTTTTTCTCTGTCCACAGGGGATTCACAAGCTCAGAAAGCTTAAAGTAATAGATGTGGCAGGGAATCAATTGAGGATGTTTCCTTCCGATGTATGATTTTTCAACCGTGCTTTCCTATGGCTTTTTATCAGGAGTTACTCTGATGCATTGCAACCTTTTAGTGTTTTTAATTTAATGCAGATATTTGTTAATGAATTTGCATCCATTTAAGTGCAGCAAAATCCTTTTATTTAAAATTTGTCATCATCCATTGATTTTATACCCCCAGATTTGAATTTGATGGTGTACTGTGACTTGTCCTTATGCAGAAGCACATGCATAGACACCCCCACACCCACCAGCAGAGCCACAGTGCCTTACAGCAGGTTTAGCACCAGTGGGAGGAGTGTTGGGTCTTCTGTAGATGTTATGTTAAGCCTGCAGGTACGCAGCACCTATAGGAGTTTCTATTTGCTGAAAAGCTGAGAGAGACCAGACATATTTATCGCCGGCCAATTCCTGTAGTACTCAGCTCATTGTGTGCTACAGGTTGAGGATTTCTCCTGCAGTTGGGCAATGACACACTTTGAACAGCTCTCATCAAGTCCACAGATCTCGTTCTGCGCTCTGAATGAGTGCCTTTACTGGCTGAGCCGTCTGGCAGCCCCCGATTACTTTAATGCCTTAAAAATCTCTGTAAAGTAGCGAAGCATGGCATTATTTGATTTATAAGTATAAATGCAGCACGTGCAGTCTAATGAAATGATAGTTATGAACAAATTAATCAAAGTTAGTTTCAGGGTTAGGCCCCTAAACTCAAAGGCTAAGATTTCTAATATATCATCATTTCAGCTTTAGAGCATGCCATTTAATAGTTGCTTGGCAGCACTGGAGGGCTGGGGTCGATTTTTGGGGTACTATTTGAATGGAATTTGCATGCTCTACCCATGTATGCATGGGTTTCTTCCTACGGCCCAAAGACAGACTGGGAGATTAATTGGCTTCTGGAAGTTGGCCACGGTGAATGTGCGTTTGTGTCTGTGTGCGCCTTGAACATCTGTCCAGGGTGAATTCTGCCTTGCACCTGTTAGCTTGCCAGGATAGACTCTGGCTCCCCTGTGGCCCCGTATTGGATAAAGCATTTAGAAAACTGTTGTGTGGGATTATTGCATTTTACTGTATTACAGCCTTGTACATGTGATTTGCTACAGAATGTTTTAGGAGGTATTGTTGTGATTAATAACATATTATTCTTATCATTTATGGTATGAATATAGTATTTCTGTTGTGCCTCAAGTTCCAGGAGCTACAGTTAGAAGAGCTGTATTGTGAAGAAAACCCTTTGCTTCAGAAAGAGCTTGTTGAGTCTGAACAAGAAGAGGAGGTCCTATCTTTAAAGGTCTTGTAGAGAACTGTGAGAACCTATTTAAAAGACTACCTGTAGAATTGATTAATGTTGCAGAAATGCTGCTGTTGTTTCCCTTTCATAATAGTTACTATTGGCACTCTTAATTTTAAACAGTTACTCACCAATTTGTTTTGTTAAAAGAACATGCTTAATTTGAGTATTTGTATTTATTATCGATACCTTTTCAAAAATTAATGAGCACAGATTCATCCCAGTAAGTAATGGTGAAGGTTTCAAATACATTAGCTAATGTCATAGAAATCTTAGTATCTGTGGAACTGCAGACCTGAGTTAACTGAGAGAATTCAGTTCACCTGGAAACTTTAGTGCTATCTAAAGTTGGTGCTATCTGTTGGGATGAATCATTATATATAAAAAAAAAAACTTTCCATGAGCTGTATTGCAGACAGAGCAGAGTTAATCTGAGGGTAAATACAACACTTCTAAAGGATGCCGTTTTATAGGATTGAGGTATAATTAATGAGCACAAATTGTTTTGTAAGGAAGCATATGTAGTAAGTTGTTTTTAAAGAGATTATATTGAACTAATATTTTTACAACTTAAAAGCTTACTATGAAATACAGTGGACTCCAACGTGTCGCAATGTCAAATGTAACACAATCTTTAATTTACATCATTCCTGTTTTGATTTGTTAGGAAATCACGGCAAGGTGTATTTTTAAGGAGCTCAGGAGTAGATCCTCGGTCGTCCACAAGGCCATCACACACTATCCTGCACTCAAGACAGTGCTCTCACAAGGGGGGAAGTGTGCTGTGTGTTCCCAGGGCTTTCTTGGCATTTGGCTGGAATGTGTGAAGTTTGTAAATCTGAAAAAGGTATGAATTGATTTTGCAGTGATACCATAACCATCTGCGTTTGGGTGGAGAGGACTTGATTTACTGATCACCAACAAAGTTGAAAGCCAGTATTCATGTTTACCCCAGAATTGAATATTTTTCCAATTTCCCTGTTTCAGGAGATGAAACTTGCAAGCCTCTTACATACCATACCAGTGAGAGTGTTGCTGTGCTCATATAAATGCTTCAATAAAAGTGGACATGCTTATTATGGGGTTGCAGTCCCCTGAAGAAGAAGAAGCAGTACAACTGGACAGGGCCCCTTGGCAGCTGGGCACAGTATGAGAAGCATGTGTGGAACTCTACTGATACAATATTAATTTACTTCTGATGTTCGATAACACCCGTGATTGTTCCCCCTTTTTAAGTAAATGTAGTAAATTAAAGAGATGTGATATAATCAATATAAGAAGGTTAAAGCATAAATAACAACCTGTGTTAAATATAACTAAAATATTAATATCCTTGTATTCTTGTTCTGAAGCCAAAGTTAATTAGATCGAGGTCACAAACAGACTTTTTATGAACAATTATAGATACTTTATATCTATAAATATGTAATTGTGATACATCAGAATATTATATTGCAGTAATTGAATCTAATTGTATATTGCAAACAACAAAGAAAGCCCTATGCCGAGGTTCCTACTGTAGCTTTATCCCTAACCATTTATTCTAGCCTTAACCTTGATCCTTTGTGTATGTCTAACTATAGCTAGCCTTAATATTTAACCCTAATCCTTATTTTAATCTTTTATCTTTCTATGAAGTGACTCATGATTCAGGCTCATTCACTGATTCATCTTCAGTTATTGTACCAGTGCATGAGACACTTGCACATTCACACATTAGAAATTCCCTTGAACCAATTCTGTTGCCCTTACCCTCATGGAATACATAAAAGTTTCTTCAGATTGTAGTCTCAATTCCTCTGTGTCTAAAAGAATCCCACCACTGTGGCACATGATGCTCATTATACATTGCTGCCCTGGGTTCACTGTAGAATATTGTCTTGCATTACTGCCGCTAGCTTGATTTCATTCTTCTGCGCACCATGTAACATGAATGCCAAAGGTGCAAAAATTATATAAAGTATTTGAAGCCCTTGGTGATTTTTTAAATTTTTTAATGCAATAAATACAGGTCAATATTCAAGTCACAACGGGCATTCATCCACAGTTGAGCAGTCACACAGAAAAGATGGCTGAGTTTTCATCCAAGTATGAGAAATTATATGTGTCACCTAACACAGGCATAGACACATTCCCGAAGGAATTCCTGAGACTGTAAAAAACCGACTGTATAGACAGACATATACTGTATATCTGTGTCTATACACTGTCTCCCTCTATATAGAGAAAGCATCAAAACAAGCCTATCATTGATAACTGCACCAATATTATTATGCAAATGACAATGTTTTATGTGGTACTGTAGGTGCACTGAGATTTTATTGAAGAGAGATGACATAGGAAAATGTATTATGTTGATTATGTCTCTGAACACAGATTATATTATGAATGGCACGGGGTAGTAGTAAGTGTGGTCAGTGTTGGAAGCCATTCAAATTGTACATCTGCAACACATGCTTTGTAGCAGGTTGCAGATGCTGTTTTGTGGGATCCTGTCCATTTCCTGTCACAGAGCCTGGACAAACATGTGCCTGTTCAGTGGTTTATGCAACAGTCAAAATCATTGAAGTGTAACATGATCCAGTCATGCATAATTAATTAATCAACATGACACCTGAAACATACAGTATAATGTACTTCGTAAAAGCGTACATGCTTAAAAAGAGTGACAATTTTATTTTGATCCTCAGGATCAATATTTTGGACTTATAATTTGTAGCTGTACTGTAACTAATGCTAATCTTTATATACATATCAAAATGTCTTTTTAAAAACATCGCAATTTAGTTTTCTTAACAGTTCCAGAATAAGAAGGATTGGCACTCTTTGAAATAATTGAATTAAGAGTATAAGAAAGGTTCCAAAAAGGAGGAGGCCATTTGGGATATCTAACCAATTTGGTAATTAGTGATGATCCATTTCAAGAATCTCATAAAGCTGTTTCTTGAAAAAAGCCATGGTATCAGCTTCAATAACATGACTAAGTATGTCGTTCCACACTCGTTTGGGTAAGAATTAACCTGCTTTTCGTAGTTTTACACTCCCATTTATTTTCCATGTATGCGCTCTGGTATGTTTCACTGTTCTATGTGTAGGAATGTGCTGAATTGACCTTGTTAAAGCCTTATTTTGAATACTTGTATCACATTCCCTTATATTCCTCTCTGTTCAAGACTAAAAACGTTCCAGTCCTTCAGCTTGCTATTGATTTAGAGAGTTAAGTCAGATATCTTTCCTGCCATGGCTTTTATGCCGAATTAAAGCGCAGTGATTTTAACTAACGTCACGTTGTGCTGTTTAAAAACCACAGTTGTATTGTATAATACAATATGTGACTATATTGAAACGATTTGAAATATACAATATATTACTGTATTGAACCATTTTGTTAAGTGCGTGAAAAATAAATAGATGGAAAATGTTGTCCATCTCACATTTTAGAGCTCTTAGACTTTTAAGAAGCATTTTGAAAATACAATTGTTAAACAATGAATTAAGCATATCTGTATTGCATGCACTTACACTAAGTAATATTCTTTTTATGGCTCACAGATAAGTTGGATTTGTTCTTCGTTTTTAAGGATATTATTAGAATGCAAAAGCCTGATTCTTTACATTTATAGTAATATATTGTCATAGTTACAGGTAGATACCCCCCCTTTTTGCATCTTTTACTAAATGTCTTAATGATTAAAAATGTCTAAAGAAACTGTTCTACAAATGAATATGCTGAATGGCCTCTTCTAGTTGATAACCCTTCTGAAGAGACAGAAGAAATAAGCTGTCATGGTATTCAGTATCGCTTCAATGTTCCATTAGCTATGCCATCCACAAAGGGAGAAATATCTCTGAAGCCACAGTGTGCTAATTGCGCATGAAAGAATATTAAATGCAAAAGAACAGAGTTCTGTTTCGTTCTGTTTCTAGGTAACTCCAAGAGAATCATTTTTTAAGAAAAACTTGAAAGAATTTAATTGCCATTGAAGCTTCCAGACCTCATCGAAGAGCCTACTGAGGAGAAATGATGAATTATGCATCAGGTTTAATTGCAAACCTAGAAATTAATGAAATTGGATGACTGTTTAATAGCACAGGGAATGATATATCTGAGAAACCCGAATAAAAAATTATTTTAAAAAGCTTTAATGGATGAATAATTAAAATCTAAGCTCTGGATTTTAAATTGTGACATTTTGGTTTCAATCAATTAATTCTCCAACTGTCCAGAAGCATGAAGCTAAGAAAATTTCACGATAAGAAATGTTATGAGGTTATCTGAAATTGCATGTGGACGGCACCCTTTTACAGGGTGGTTAAACACTGAACATAAGAAAGGTTATAAATGAGAGGAGGCCTTTCTGTCCATCTAGCTTGTTGGCTAGTTAGTAGGGATTTGGCCTGAGGATCTCATCATAAGCTTTGGGTAAAGGGCCTCCTGTTCTTATTGTTAAAGGGACTTCTATACACCAATTGCACTGTCAACTACATCATTGATTCATTGTTGTACTGCTATTTATGACCATACAGCATATGATATAATGAGTATGGGTATATGAATATACAACCTGATCTTAGTACAATATATTCTCTGCAGAAGTAGTTCAGGGAGCTGTGTCAGCATGCGTAAGCTGCAAAGGAAAAAGTAAAGGTTTCTTCCCTGCTGAAAAGAGAAGAAAAGAAACGCAACGTTTCGGCTGTGGAGCCGCCTTCGGGTGTCGGGTTCACACCGCCGAAACATTGTGTCTCTTTTCTTCTTTTCTGCTGTAAGTTCTGCTTTGTGTAGATGGACCCTGATAAGAGGTGGTTGCAGCTGAGTCCTTTCTCACTACAGCAGAGAAATCAGTATCTTAGCAGTTTATTATTTTCTGTACAACTCGAGTCCTGGTTCGGCTTTGGTCTTATCTTACTTGTACTCCATCAGGCAAATATGTATGCATTCTTTGATCAATTTTCGTCAAATTCAGCGTGTGAAAGGGCATTGTAGTTTTTACAGAAAGGTATGATTTATGTCTTTTTCTCACTCATTCTTACTTTAAAACAAAGCTGCCAATCATTCATTGAATACATGATGCTGGGGGTGGTTAAATGTTTGCAGATTATATAGCTGCTACCTCAAAGCTTATTAATAGATGGCTCTGCTCATAAGACATTTTATGGTGTTGAATGTTCATTGGGTCTACTCTTATGGTATGTCTGTCTAAATCCACCTTTGTAAGAAGAGAACAATTATTAACTGCAGTATCTGTGGTGAAGGATAACTCCACCATGCTTCTACTGTGCAATGTAATACCTCATAAATGCTAAATCAATAATACGTGGTAGGTTTATCTGTTTAGTGTGTAAAATATTATTGTTATCTGCTTAGTAAATTGATTAAATCTGAATGCATGTACTTTCTTCTCATGGTTAGCTCTAGTTCTGGCAGAATAAAGTTGTAGTAGTTACATTTCTGATTTCTCTTTTAAAACATTCAAATTCAATTGTAGTTGCAGAAAATCATGTTACTAATTTTCATATTTTGATACTTTTCTTAAATCCAATTTATGAATTCTTCCAATGAAAAGGATTAAGGGATTTTTATATCTACGGTTCCAAGGCAAATGGATTTGTTGCTGCTGCTGTTATGATGTGAGTATGTTTCTCTGGCAGCTGGTTAATTTTTACACTAATTACCACTGAACTTCAGTTTCTGTGGAATATTAAATAATTTGCAGGTATTTAGGATTATCTGACAAATTATTATGTATTTGCATTTGTATGGTATTTGTGTTATCCTCAAGGATTACAGAAAGTCACATTTATATCATATTTAGATAAAAAAATTGATTTGGGTAAAGGGAAAGGAGAATTAAATTATTGATTTCTTAAAATATATGCACACAACAAGCTGTCTTCTACTGCCCTTTTGAAAGGCTATCGAAAAACAGAAATGTGTAGTTCAAAACCTAAACAAAACCCATGTATTGATACTGGAGCTAAACCCAGGTTTTGCAACACTATTGGGCAGTATGTTTGCTTTGCCAGTTTTCCATTATTAAACCAAAATATTAATTAAATATTAATATAAATATTAAATGTTTTGAATATTCAAGATCCAGGCAAAGTCCCTTTCTATGTTCCTAGGCCTTACATGGCTTTACTACTAGCATAACTCATCAAAGTAAACTGATTGAGTGACTGTTGATGATAAACTCTAGATATCCACACAGTATGCTCCGGTGAGGCATTTTGTTTGTTGTAAAATGGTAAAATGCTGCATATCTGTATTTCACAAGGATTAATTGCACCCAAGGAATAGCTGCAGTTGAGGATGTTCATTGAGCATTTACTGTATAGTGAGATCAGGTTTAACCCACTTGGCTAAGGTCCAACCTCCTGGCCATACGATGAGGAGCCTGGCAACCCTGCAGAGTGAAGAGTGAATTAAGGAGTAGCTGTAGTAGAGAAAGGATGCATGATCTGAAATGTCAAAACAAGAGGGATTTGTACATGGTTTATACAGGTACATAGCATTCAGGAACTGATGTCAGAATTGATAATGGGTTAAAACAGCTCAGAAAGTGGATTGGTTACTAACATTCCAATCAAACTTAATTTAAGAATCTCCATTAAAGAAATAACTTCTGTTTCTGGATCTCTTTTTTCACTCTCAGTGCTCTGTAATTTCATAGTGTTCAAAAAGGCAGAAGGCCATGGCAAACTTGGAAAGAAACTTGACATGCAGTGCACACCTCCTTCATTTTTAAGACTGCTGTTTTGGAAAGGAAAGCAAAAAATAAAAATATAA